ATCGTGTGGCACGCCGACCACTTATATTTGCTGAAATGGGATCGTGTGGCACGCCGACCACCTAGTTATACTATGAAATGGGATCGTGTGGCACGCCGACCACTTATATAGATTATGAGATCTGATGTAGTTTCGTGTTTACTTCTGATAAGTTGTTTTCATCTGTATTTTCCCTAAGCATGTCCCCTTCCCGCCTTAATTGGTATTTTCTGCTGTTATTTCGTTGCACTTGTATATACATATATATCTGCACAGGTGTTTTTGGTAGGTCCTGTCTAGCCTCGTTACTACTTCGTCGGGGTTAGGCCAGGCACTTACCAGCACATAGGGTCGGTTGTGCTGATGCTACACTCTGTGCATCTTTTTGCACAGATCCAGGAGCAGCTTTTGGGCCTCAGCAGTAGGATTTGATCGGGAGCTGACTTCAGTCCAGGGACTTTCGAGGTAGCCTAGCTGACGTCCGCAGGCCGGAGTCCCTTCTATGTTATTAGTTTATTTTCCTTGTACCGAGACAAACATTGATGTACTTCTATTCAAACTTGTTTTTAGCACTCTTTAGTAGTTCGTGAGTTAATGACACCGGATCTGGGTAGAGTTGTAATTAAACTTCCGCATTTGGTTTTAAGTTATCTATGTTTTTAAGACTTCCGCTTTATGTCATTATGTTTGATTTTATTAAATGGTTGGTAATTGTTGCGAAAAGGTAGATTAAATTGGCTTGCCTAGCTCCCATTAGTAGGCGCCATCACGACTCCCGAGGGTGGGAAATCCGGGTCGTGACAGAGACTCTACTAGACTTGCTCATGACTCGTGGGACCCTAGGAACCTAGTGCTCTGATGCCATGTTGTCACGACCCAAAATCCACTAAGGGTCGTGATGGCGCCGGACACCGCTGTCAGGAAAGCCAACCAATTACTTAATTAAACTCCAATTTTAACAATTTTAAAAACCAAGATTTTCCTTTAAATTTCATAAGTAAAAAGATAACTGCTTCAATTCAAATTAAATACTAGCAATCCATAAAAAATATTTAAAAACCATCCCAGAACCCGATGTCACAAGTGCATGAGCATCTACTGATAAGGAAATAAAATACAATACAACATCCGTCCGAAATACAGTTGACAGAAAGAAAATACAATTTGCTGGAAGGGACTTTACTGGCTGCGGGCCGCCTCGAAATATGCAACTCACCTAGTCCCCGAATCATCCGTGCTGCTATGCCCAGTGGGCCGCTAGAGATAAATATACCTGTGCAACAAAAATACACAGAAGTGTAGTATGAGTACGTAACAACGTGTACTCAATGAGTATCCCGTCTAATCTCGAAGAAGTAGAGAAGAGATGGTCAACTTCGACAATTACTAGAGGTCATTCGACAATATACTAAAAATGTGAGGAAATCATGGATTCATATAGCAATCCTAATTCACGAAGCCAGAAAACAGGTAACCACCTTCAACAAATAATGAAGGATTTTCAAGGTTTACTCTTTATTATCTTATCAATTTATATCAAGCCACGAAGGGCACATTTCACATTTAAAATTCTCAAGCAACAATATAACATGTGCAAATCACACTGAAGCGACGGCCTGATCCAACAAAAATAAACTGTGCACTTGCCGAGGGTCGACGGCGCGCCTATAGATGCATCTATTTAATCTGCCGAGGCGTTCGGCCCGCTCCATAAATAAACACATACCCTGCTCGCGAATCATGCATGCGACGCAGGTACACATAGAGATACATGCTCAATCAGTCAATTAAGAACTTATCGGGAATATTTATCCAAATAAAATAATTTCTCTTTTTAACAATTCAGGAAAAATGATGTTTAATCTCCTTTTAAATTCATTTACTAATCCAAGGTGATTTAAGCGAATCAAGCTATCAATAGGTTCATAAATAATCTAAGTGTAACATGCTTTCGGGCCCTAACTACCCGGACAATGGCATAATAGTAGCTACGCACGGACTCTCGTCACCTCGTGCGTACGTAGCCCCCGCAAATAGGAGCACATAATCAATTATTTCACCTATGGGGACAATTCCCTCTTACAAGGTTAGAAAGGAGACTCACCTTGCTCCGAAGATCCATAACCGGCATTCCACGCCCCTCCGAAGACTCCAATTGATGCACCACGCTCCAAAACTAGCCAACGGTTACGCAAATCTATTAATATATGCTCAATTGTTCATTACCATCTCATTTATAGCAATTCCTAACTCCGATCGAAAAGTTAACCAAAACGCCCTCGGGCCCACGTGCCCGGAATCCGAAACTTTTCGAAGATAAAGATTACCCATGACCTTAGGAACTCAAATATAATTTTTACTAAATTCCATACTCAAAATCGTGGTTAAATTCCAAGAATATAATTTTTAGGTCTTCTACCAAAATCCCCAAATTTCAACCAATTTCATGCTCAAATCCTTACATAATTGATGTATTTAACTTAAAATGGATGGGGATATATTACCTTGATGTTGATGACGGAAATCCCTCTCTTGAAGCTCCCAAAATCGCCCAAGCCATGAAAAATATGAGAGAAATGAACTCAACCCCGATTTTAAACAACCATTCTGCCCCAGCTATTTTCGCACTTGCGGCCCTTTGACCGCTTCTGCAGTTTCGCAAGTGCGGTCCAAATACCGCTTCTGCGGTTCCTCTCAAGCCTCCCCATTTTCGCTTCTGCGGCACGCCATTCGCAGATGCGGTCCCACTTCTCCGGAACACTGACCGCATCTGCGGTTTTCTCCAGCTGCCCCTCTTCTGCTTCTGCGACTATCCTTCCGCAGATGCGGTCCCACTTCTGCGGAATCTTGACCGCATCTGCGGTCCTCGAGCCTTGACCAACCTTCCGCTTCTGCGGGCCGCTTCTGCGGCTAACCCACCGCAGAAGCGAAAATACCAGCAACCGGATCCTTCAGCTATCCAAAAATTCCAAATTCCGATCCGTTAATCACCCGGAATCCACCCGAGGCCCCCCGGGACCCCAACCAAACATACCAACCAATCCTAAAACACATTACAGACTCACTCGAGGCCTCAAATCACATCAAACAATGCTAAAATCATGAATCGACCTCCAATCCAAACTTAATGAACTTCAAAAATTCAAACTTCTATTTCCGATGTATAAACCTATCAAATCTCGTCCGATTGACCTCAAATTTTGCGTACAAGTCATATTCGACATTACGGACCTACTCCAACTTTCGAAATTGGATTTCGACCCCGATATCAAAAAGTCCACCTCCGGTCAAACTTCTCAAAAGCCTTCAAATTTCTATCTTTAGCCAAATGGTTCCAAAATGACCCACGGACCTCCGAATTCACTTCCGGTTGCGCCCCCAACTCCGGAATCACCATACGGGGCTATTCACAGTCTCGGAATCCCAAACGGACATCGATAACACTGAAATGCACCTCAAGCCAAACTTATGAAATTTCTTCTAAAATGCTGACTTCCACACTAGGCGCCAAAACGCTCCCGGGTTATCCGAAACCCGAACCGGGCATACGCCCAAGTCCGAAATCATCATACGAACCTGTTGGAACCTTCAGATCCCGATTCCGAGGTCGTTTACTCAAAAATCCCATCCTAGTTCATTCTTCCAACTTTAAGCTTTCCGAAATGAGAATTCTCTTTCCAAATCAACTCTGGACATTCCCGAAATTCAATTCCGACCACGCGTACAAGTCATAATGCCTGAAATGAAGCTGTTCATGGCCTCCGACTGCTGAACGGAGCGCTAGGACTCAAAACGACCGGTCAGGTCGTTACATATATATAAGCTATATTCGATATAACATTACCTAATACACTTATACTTAGTGCATAGTATAGCGTAAGTATATATATTTTATATATAAGCTACATTCGATATAATATTACCTAATACACTTATAATTAGTGCATAGTATAGCGTAATATATATATTATATATATTATATATATATATATATATAATATATATATATATATATATATTTATATATAGTGCGTACCAAGGGAATCTAGTGCGTACAACTCACCATCCTAGGAAAAAATCAAGAGCTTTTAATTGGGCCTTGCGTCCCTGAGGTGTCTTTGTTTTAGGCACGAACCAGTGAGTCACCAGAGTGGCTCCTATCTGTCCTTTTTGTGTTTTCTGCATGTTTTCAGAAAATATAAAGAATCTAAATGATAAATTGAAAACATCAGTAAGTTTGTAATTCAATTATACCCCCACAGCTATATTTTTTTACCTTCCAAAGCTATATATAGTATTTGATATGAAAAGAATGAAGGATTAAAGGAACATCCTTTTCTTCTTTATTACTCCTCACTTGTTTCATTTTACATTATACTTTTTTCTCCAAAAAAAAGCATATTTTATATTTGAAACTTTTATTATAACTTCAGATTTCTCATTTTTTCTATTAATGAAATGCTCTCATAGTCATAAAAGTTTCATGATATATTTAAGATTTAATTAAATAATTTTTAGTCTGTGGCAAACTTCCCTTTTTAAACTTGGCGGCCAGTCAACGACCTCCTTATTAATTTTTCGTGATGTGCAGGGAATAATGTTTTGATTTTATTAATAAAAATCAGAGGCTAGGCACACTGCTTAGTGGTGTTCAGCAAAAAAATACCTCCTTAACTAGAAAATAAAACATGATGAATAATTATCTGCCAAAATAAATTTCTACGTAGATGATTACTTTGAAAAAAGAAGATATACTTGGTCCATGTTTTGATAGAAGGATGAACTGACCTGATATTTTTCTTTATATACTTTGACACCGGTTGCATGGGCAAGAAGCATGTTGTGAGCTACAATATATGGCTCAGTGGCAGAATTACCTCCGTACAATTACCAACATAACTCGAACATCTTCCTGGTGCAAAGGTACCTCTTGCATATCCGAACATGCTATAAGATAATGGCTCATTCAATGTGATCCAGTGCTTTACCCTATCACCAAATTCCTTGAAGCAAATGTCCGCATAATCACCAAAGTCCTTCCTGAACGCATGAATATACAGCTTCAGCTTTCGGTACATATGTTTGAGGCATAATTTAGCTAAGAAATTAAAATTACGCTTTTTAAATAACTTAAAGTTTTAGATGAGATGATCACACAATATATATCAATATGGTATTAGATTGGACAAGAATTTTTAGGTTTAGATCGCATCGCTACCTGGACAGCTAAAACATTTGGGCTTTTAATATATTTGGTCGGTCGGTCAAAAATAATTAAAGTACTAGACAAATATATAAGAAAAATACACTAATTATGAATAAAATATGTATACTATATTCATATTGTATACATTAGTATAGAAAGGTATGCATTTACCGGCTATTTTTTGATGAGTGGTTACGTACATTATGTATGAAGAGAGCTCTGACAGGCCTTGAAGGACCGAACACACGTATGTGGCAAAATACAGGGATGACTTGTGGCTAGGGTGAAAGGCCAACCAAGATCGCATATTGCCGGTTTTCCGCGAAATCTATTTCAGGATTTTCCGAGATATTTCAAGTATGGGCCTATAACTAAGAATCATGCATACACATGAAGCATACATTAAGGCATAACATAATCAGGTTATTCAACATATGTGATATCTCTACTTTTGAGGTTGAGTACTCCCAATTTCACTACAGAATTTGTGAATTGAATTATGGGCTGAATCACCTCGAATTGCGTTGAGCCGCATGTGGAAAGACCCACACTACAGTCATTCGCAAATTCACTACAAAGTTTGCAAATAAATTCTAGGCTTGGGCACCTCGAATGGTGTGAACCGCATGTGGTAAGACCCACATGTACAGTTTTAAAGGGGGATTTGATCCAAAAATAGGCCAGCTCACACCCGACTAGAGGAACTGAAAAATTAATTGAGTACAAACCTTATTGCCTTGTAAATTGATCACACAATATCATCAGGTACTTATGTAATTCCTTCAAGAAAAAAAATAAATAGAAATCTATCTTATTTCTGTTCGAATGCTTTAACGTCTTACGCTATTTTGGAACTGAGAAATCCTCCATATTCGTCCTCTAGGGTTTGTGGTGTGTCCCAGTGGAAAAGTGTTATAAATGGCGTCAAACCTTTTAAGAATAGAAAAGTTAGAAACCTTATAACGGTTTCGTAAAACTGATAGTATATTGGAATGAGATAAAGTTATTAGTACCATTGGAGATAAGCTCATTGATGACATTGTTGTAGAATTTTATGCCTTCTGGATTCACTCCTTTGCTTACTTTCCCATCTAGAACAAGTAAGAAAAAGATTAAGTTGAGCGATCAACTAGTATTAGTTTGCCTCTTTTTCTTTTCACCTCCTTATATATTTTGCTGTAATTACTGCATATTTCAAATGTGAATTAAACTGGAAAAAGTATTCTTACGTGGTAAAATGCGAGACCAAGAGATGGATAACCTGAATGCTTTCATACCAACTTCCTTAAGTAGACGTATGTCTTCCTGTAACATTTGGCAATATTTATTTAATACCCACTAAAACATAAATATCAGCAGAAAAAGTTTAAATGAGGACTGCCATACCTTGTAACGGTGATAGAAATCAACAGCGACATCTCCGGTAGAACGGTCAAATATTTTTTCTGTAATTTAAAGATTATATATGTTAAGAAAAGCTTAAACAGAAAAAAAGAAAACAATAACCAGGTTAGGAGCTGAGAATATACAGGATAAGTTGGATCCATGAAATATGACACTTGATGGGTGTTGAAACTAGAAAAGCATTTGAAGAGTTTCGACAAGTAAGACGGAGCGGTTGTGGGGGTGGGAGGGTGGGGGTGGGGTGGGGTGGGGTGGGGTGGGGTGGGGGTTTATAAGAGACTTTGAGTCTTTTTTTGGAAGTGTCACTGAGGTCTTCAGAAATGGGTATTTCCTGATTGGTTGAACTAAAGCAACTCTCGAATTGTTTAAACTATTCTCAATTATTTTTTACGGATTGCAGAATTCCCTCAATTATTTTTAGAAGAAATCACAAATCTTCACAGTAAGAAGAAGAAGAAGGGGAGGAGGAGAAGGAAGAAGTTGATGAAGAATAAGAAGAAATAATGAAAACGCATAAGAAGAAAAACATACAGAGAAGATAAGAAAGGAGAAGAAAAGGAAGAAGAAATTGAGTAGGAGATAAGAGGAGAAGAGAAGAGAAGAAAAAGAAGATGAGAAAGGGAATTAAAAATTTGAAAATGAAAGTTTTCCCAGATGTTAATACTTGCCCCTAATGACAATGCTTCATGCAATGAATTTTCCTCATAGATTCATTAAGTGGATAGTGACATGTATAAGTACTACTCAGTATAACATAGCAATAAATGAGGGGCTATATGAGAGCATATAGTGGAATGAGAGGGCTTCGACAGGGTGATTCAATATCACCCCTATTATTTGTAGTGTGCATGGAATATCTTACTAGAATTTTGAATAAGGTGGCAGAAATGAGGGACTTTGGGTATCACATTAAATGCAGATGATTGAAATTGAATCATCTATGCTTCACAGATGATGATGTACTGTTATTTTGTAAAGACAATTACCAATCAGTAATGCTTTTAGTAAAAGGGCTGTAGTCTTTCTCTAATGCTTCAGGCTTGAGCACTAATGCAGGAAAGTCTATATTTTCGGTGCTAATATGGAAACCCAAGTATTAGAAGATTTATGCGAGGCAACTGGATACCAGATAGGGTCATTACCATTTCGATACCTGGAGGTGCCTATTTCAACAAAGAAGATTTCTACCATGGACTGTGAAGTACTGGTACACAAGATGACTGCTAGACTAAAGATCTAGAGTTCGAGGAGCCTCTCATATACTGGTAGAGTACAACTAATTAACTCAGTTCTTTTCCAAGTACACACATATTGGTAATCGATCTTCATCTTACCTAGGGCTATGTTAAAAAAGCTCACTACAATATATAGAAACTTCTTATGAGATGAAAGAGAATCGACTAATAGAGCCCCATTGGTTGCATGGGGCACTGTCTGTCGACCAAAACAAAAAGGAGGCTTAGGGATAATTGTATGATATGGAATGAGGCATCGATAGCAACATATGTGTGGAACATTGCTCAAAAGGCAGACAATCTGTGGGTGAAGTGGGTTGATCACATTTACATAAAAGGTACCAGTTGGAAGAAATACTTGCCACCAACTTATTGTAGCTGGTACTGGAAGAGAATATGCAATATAATAGAGAAGTTCGAGGGGGATATGTGGGGAATGAATGGTAGCAGACAAGAGGAAGGTATACAATACAAAAGGGATACTATTGGAGGAAGGGGGAGATGAATGATTGGCCTTGAGCTAGATGGATTTGGATTCACTAAATGTCCCAAACACATTTTTATAAGCTGGTTGACAGTTAAACGACTACTGACTAAGGAAAGACTGCAAAAAATTGGAGTATGCCAAGAGACAAGTTGTGAAATGTGTGGAGGAAGCATTGAAACAATCCCTCATATGTTTTTTGAATGTCCTTTCTCAAAGAAATGTTTGGGGTTTCTGATGGAATGGTTAGGAGTAAGGTTAAATACAACAGATATTGAGGGGTTGTGGAAAACACTAACAAGGAAGATCAAAGGCAAAATGTGCAGAAAGTTTATATTGGCAACTTTGGCCGCGTTAGGTGTACAAAATTTGGGAAGCAAGGAATGACTCAATCTGGAACATCAGAGTCCCTAGTCTATTGGTGGTATGCAAACAGTTTAAACAAGAGTGTAAAGTTAGATTGAATTATGCAAAATAGGGATGGCAATTGGGGTAGGACGGGGCAGGGATAACCTTAAATGGGGCGGGGCAGGGAAAGAATTAAATGGGGCAGGGCGGGGCAGGGCAGGGCAGGGCAGGGCAAATTATTATTTTTGAAAATTTTTAATAGGGCAGGGCAGGGCAGGGCAGGGTACTTGACAGTAGGGAAAGCAAGGATAGCAGTTTCATCTATTACTTTAATGGTAATACCAGTACCCTGTGCAGTATACTTATGATAACCTTTAATGTGCTTAAGTATACTTATGGTAATACCATTATGATTGGATAAGCTATTGAGTTACATGATGTCTGGTCCCACAATTTTAAAAAACATAAAATTATCCATAATTAAGATAGATTAATTGTGGAAATTACAAGTAGAAGGATTAAATGAATTTTCTGAAGCTTAAGAAAGAGAATAAACATTTTATGGAACATTATTATTTGCATCTTCCATTAGAAAGAGAGAAAAATAACTTTTTTGAAACATTATCTTTCCAAAACTCTTAAATGTGAAATGAACACAAATTACTTGACACAATACATCAATTATAGTAGTATTTTTTGCATTTTGAAAGTGTAAGCCAATTTGCATTTCTGAATATTATAATTTTTAATACATAATAACTTTTGAACATTTTATTAGTCCGCTTCAAATTATTTTGAATTTATTTTAATATTTGATATTTTTAAAAACGAACTAATAATGACACTTCTCCATAATACGGAAAAAAGCATTAATGCATAAACATAATATTACAAATTAGAAAAAAAAAATACAAAAAAGCCTAAACGGGACGGGGCGGGGCAGGGCGAGGCGGGGCGGGGCGGGGCGGGGCGGGGCAGGACAAAATTTGAAAACATGTTAAATAGGGCAGGGCAGGGCAGGGCGGGTCAAAATATTAGCAAGTCAAGGCTTGCCCCGCCCCGCCCTAACCTGCCCTGCCCCATTTGACACCCCTAATGCAAAACATCAGAAGAGAGAGTATGGATAGTAGAAAATGAATGGAAGAATTGTATAGCACACAGGGATTGAAAAATAGGTTAGACAAGAGGACTTTTGCGACTAGTAGGAACTTTTCCTCTAGTCTGTACGACTTTGAATGTATATTTGGTTGATTGGAGATTAATAATATTTTTCTTTGCACCAAAAAAATAATACTTGCCCCTAACATTTTAAAAATTATAATTAAGCCCTCATTATCTTTGATTTAGTCAAAGTCCCGAATCGTTTATTCAAGACTCAAGAAATCTTTAGATTGTTAGTATTGATGATACAACTGACAATTTTGTCAATTACATTGTCATATGCAAGTAACGGTAATATGTGTAATGTAGAATATGTACATTTTTGTCGATTATATGCTCTTGTATAAGTAAAACCTGTACTCTTATTCTACATTGAATTTCATATAAAATAATAAAAGTATTACTGCATTATTATACTGATACTTACTACTCCCCTCTGTTAATTAAAAAAATAAGGATTTTTTAATTTTATATTTGTGGTCTTAAATCTGCCATAAACTTGTGTTGGTATAATCTTATAATATTTTTGAGCTTGTGATCTAAAATATGCCATGGTTTATTTGTAAGGCTACAAAAGTTTGTCAATAAAGGTAAATTAGGAAGTCTAAATTAATTATTCTCAAAATTTAAAAAGAAAAATTATTCGCTTTTAAAAAGAATAAAATGCAAATAGAGTCACATAATAACCTGATACTGATGGAGTATTGAGTGTATAAAGGTACAATAATAACAACAAAATATCCGACCATATATACACAACTTAGTAAAAAATTCTATATATACGACATGTAACCAAAGGACGTTAACAAAGAGGGTGGCATCACTATTCGAGATAATAATTTGAAGATTAGAATGTCAAAAATTAGAAACCTCTTGTAATCGTATCAATAGAGGGCACACGTGCTTTTGGTAACTGTACATTTGATAACTTTGATTTTTTTCTTTCATCCGAATAATCATGTTTACCTTGATAAAAGTAGATTCATATAATTTGGATATGTATTACCATTAAACCTCCACAAATTCAATATATTTATCTATGTGAAGTGGTAAAAGTACTAAATTAAGTTTCGTGTAACTTATATATAAAGGCCTCATATGTATATGTGATATAACAACTAAAACTTTATATATTAAGTCATGGCTTAAACCAGCATTCTTTAGCACAAGCTAGTAAGGAGAATTACCAAGGTATCTAGAGAGATAAACTTAGATTATGCGAAAACGGCGAAAATCACTCTTCGTGAAAATGGAATTTTGGACTGTGAATGATTTAATATAATGTAGCTTCCTCTACAGCTTATAAACAAATAATAACAGCTCATTGATCTCTTCTAGAACTGAGTGTAATACTTAGTCAATTTTTTTTAATGAAATAGTCCCACGGTAATATGCGCACATGATTTGACAATTAAAAACTCTATGTCAAATTCAACTCTACTATACTATTATGTTTATTTTTTAAAAGAAAGTACGACGTGCCGGCAATATTCACGCCGTATTTTAACTGCTGAACGAACAAGTCACTTAATTACTAGATCTGCTCACAAAAGTTTAGTTTGATCAAGGGTTGACTAATTTTGCCAATGGCTTTCCAAGAATCAATCATGGAAATTACTGTTCATGTTAATTCAGATTGTATGGATCTTCAGAAAAATAGAGGATCAGTACGAAAATTTCTAGCTAGTTTATTGATGTAAATATTAAAAAAGGTAGTTTATGTTATATATATATAGGATAAAGAGAAGACCTGGGTGCTTGTGCGTGAAAGTATCCCATATACTAGGTCCCCTACCTCCTTGACGAGCTCCTCCTTCAATCTGAGAGTTCATTTAAATCAAAAGAAAAAAGAAAAGAAGACATAAAAGTGAATCTTAGTACATATTATGGTATAATATTTCTATTAGGTTAACTTACTTGGAGTGCACTAAACAGAGAAGAATGATTACATAATTGGATACGGACAGATTAAACAGTCTAATTGGTCGATTTTAGATTAGGGATGTTGAGGCGAAACCAGAATCTGGAGCCAGTAGGTTCGGAATGATCATTTTTTCATATGCTATACAATTCAAGGAAAAACCGATGGACTCAGCTGAACCTATAGAATGTTGGAGATCAAACTCCTCAAGAAGCATGGAGTGGAAGAAAGTCAGGACGAGGACGTGGCGGTCATGGAAAAGGAAGAAGTAATGGTAACAACTTCAACAATGAAGAAAAAATCTACCAAACATTCAGAGGTCGTGGTCGTGGTCAAAGAGGAGGAAGAGTACATGGCTACTATCAAGAAAATAATGGATAAATATACGAGAAATTAAAAATTGAGTTTTATAATTGTCATAAATTTGACCATTATTCTGGGGAGTGTCGTAGCAATGTTGAAGAGAAAGCTAACCTTTGTGCATTAATTAAGAAAATACGAGAATGATATAGAAGATGTCCGTGTGATAGAAAAGATCCTTCGCCCTTAACATAGAACCTGCTCTAAATTAACTTCGAGAGGGGGTGTATGAGAGTTCTGTGGGGACTTTGTATTAAAATTATACCTGGTAAGCAGCTGAAGCAGCACCAAATACGAAATCAGAAGGGAAACTTGTTCTGTTAAAAGGAGAAGCGAATCGCTTTGCCGGGACTGTAGCATTGGTAAGAGCAAAAAGATTAAGAATCAGTACAAGGTAGAAGAAGCAGAAGCTCATCAAGATTCTTCTGATAGCCATTGTTTGTTTGCTTCTTCTACCTATGCCGCAAGTTCTTGTTAATGCAATTGACCTGATATATAGAACACGACTGAACATATGTATGTAAATATACCAATATAAAATCACCACGTGTCATAACAATATAAAATCTCCAATTTGTGCGTCCATTCGTCTATTTTCCTATTCCCTAGTGCAGGACATGAGTAAAAAAAATTTGCATACTTAAATGGGATAGGAAAACTAATTCAAATTAGCCAAATGGAATAGCACGAAATTTTGTACTTCACTCCTTTTTAATTCAAATTAGTTTCAAGTTGAGCAAGATCTAGACAGAATACTTGGAGTGTAAGTTCAGTGACGAGATTCAAGGAGGGGAATGAGAGGTGAGGCTGGACTCACAGATCATCCCTAGGAGACGGAGTTTTAAGTGCCTTGGGTCTATTATTCAGGGGGATGTTGGAGATTGAAGAAGATGTCACTCATCGTATTGGAGCGGGATGGATGACATGAAGACTCTCTTCCGGTGTTTTATGTGACAAGAAGGTGTGATCACGCTCAACTGAGTTTCGCAAAAGACTACGCGGGCGTTGCAAAAATAATCTGAGTATTTATGCCCAGAGTCGAACCACAGAGAATTAACCTATCAATTACTATTGTCCGATTTACTAAATTCACAAAATCTGTTTCCCCAAACTTTTTGATTCACAATGGTTGATTTTTCTAACAACTAAAGACTGAAAGTAATTAACAGCTGAAAATTAACTAAACTTGAATACTTGATGTGTAAACAATTGGAATAAGGTCTAAGGCAATGGTTTTCCCCGTTGGTAATTTCTTTGGTTGTATATGTTTTATAACTATCATTTAGTTGTCTCTATCAATCATGAATTGTCTCTATCAATCATGAATGCTCCAGCTATCATAAATCTTTCTCAAGCAATTATGATAATTTACTAGACGAACTCTCTCAAGCTACGCTAGCTAGATTCACAATACAGTTCACTTAGATTGCACCCGAGGTATCGTTATCTCTAATCCAACATCTAAACCCTCGGTTATGACTCTCGTCTATACTCCGGGAGTGATGTTGTTCATACAATCACCTAAATATGCACTCTCTCTCAAGTAGATACGTAATAAATAGGAACGGATAATTAAGGGCCCTTTTAACTAACCACAATCAAAACATAGATGAACAAATAGAGATTAACAACCAAATCCAACTATATTAATAAAACAACCAAGTCATCCCCAACGGGTTCCACCAAACCCTTAGATTAAGGTATTTAGCTACTCATAACAATGGAGGAATAAACTACTAGAAGATTCATAATCGAAAATTGCATGAAAAATAAAAGAGAATAAGAATAATGATGTTTTGGGTGATCTCTCACACTTGTTTCTCTTGCCAAAATACTCTCTAAACAAATCTGACCTAATGTGGCCGAATTCCTACTTTTTATAAGGGTTTTACACCAAGTTTTTCCGACTTGACACTTTCGTCCCTGGATTTTTCGCGTTCTGCCGCGGTCCCACCGCGGTTACGCCGGGACCGCGACCAAATAGGTTCTCTGAATCTGCAGCTCTACTCTGCCGCGGTCCTACCGCGGTTACGGTTTGACCGCGGCAGGCCAAGTTCAGCACTTCTTTTGACTTTTCACTTGGTGCATTTCTTGGGCATTGTTTGATTGGCCTCTTTTTCTCCGTAATTGATCCCAAACTTGCTCCATCGACTTCTATCATTGGATATAGCCTGCAAAGCATGAAAAGCACTAATCAGAGCATTTGGTTATCACTTTTTACAACAAAGCTATACAAAAATGTGGTTCTTTAGGGTCTAATTATAGTCTAATTCACCTATTATCAACACCCCACACTTAAATCTTTGCTCGTCCTCGAGCAAGTTGAACCAGACTTCGAGGCCTATTTGTTAGATGCATTACCCTTTTTATGTCACACCTGCTATTATGAAAGAACAACCTAAGTAGTGCAACAGCCACACCTCAGATGAAGACTCTAATGCCATGCCACACTCATGCTTACTCTATGTACTCTAATAGAAGTGAAGACTTGCTTTTTCTTCTTGAGTTAAATGCCCTAACATCACATTTCTGAGAGAAGTTCCACACACATGAAATCAAACAACAAGGAACTGTAGAATAAACGAATTCACTCACTCTCAGCAAAGAACATTCATATGCCACACAGATACACCATAAGCTTGCCCTTAGTGTAATACTCTACTAATTGAATTGTTCAGTGTAAGATCAATAGGGCTTTATTTGGTTGTAATGTAGGCTACGGGACGGGTAGGATACATTTAGATATAAGAGTGACTACACCTCCCTAAGCACTTTAATACATACATTTTCTCAATTAAACCTCATCCTTATGTCACCCCAAAATTTCCACCTTCACATCAATATAACTACCCCATTTTTTTTAAGCATACTTACATCAAGAGCCACCACTTATCTAGGAGTTTTTATGCTTACATCAAGTGGCTCTTCTTTTTTTCAAAACAGTGCACCTTTCTCCTTATTCAACTAGTTCCACTCGAAAGCCAAACCGACCACCCCACACTTTACTTTTACAAGGTTCATAATAGTTCAAGTGCTCATGAGAGGTGAAAAGGTTCAAATAGATGGTTAATTCAAACAAATGGGTAAGGCTTGTAATGTGGTTGCCAAAGAAAAAGGATTATATGCTCAAAGGAGTTAACTATGGTAATATGTATAGGTGGATTCATGATTATATAGGCTACACAAAGAAATGCCTAAATCATCTCTAAGACCAAACAACTACTATTTCGCTTTGCACACACACGGGGCAAGTTCTAGGTATTGCATGCAAGCACATAATACATATATAACCTCACACACACTTGGCATGTAACTCATTCCGAATTAGTTTGTCAACACATTCACGAGAGCATTCAAATAAGACAAGGTGTGCAAAATTAAGGCATAAAATTAAGAGTCTACACGTGAGCCTAGACATCGCACCCTCAAGTTCGTTTTAAGTATTTGCAGGTATGTACACCATGGGATGCATTCTTGCCCAACCCTTCTTAGCCCACAAGAGTCCTAAGGGTCCTAAAATCTATTAAAGAAAAATCTACCTAACCCGGTTCAAGAAAAACCCTTGGAAAAGAACCGCGGTCAAAAGAAAAACCAAGGGGGAATTACTAGACTACTTACAAAGAAAATAAAATAAAAAAATCTTTTTTGGCTTTTTGATTAGACTACTTCCCTCAAGAATACTGTCTAGGTGGTCCGTCATCAGGAAGAGTCTCCTATCTTTTCTAGTTTTTTTTTTATCCGACTTTAACCCTTAAGAAACCCGTCGACAAGTGTCCGTCGTTGGGCCAAGTCGGTGACATCTAAGCTACATATACAACAACACATATATACACAAATCATATATACACATACCCAAGTCTCCCACCCCACACACAAAGAGTATGGCATGTCCTCATGTCATAAAACAATTAAAGAGCAGAAGGGTAAGATGACTTCCCTGGTCATCAGTCGGAGTCAGAGACGGTGTTGGGATCCACGTGACATGCCCTCCCTAAAGCACGGAACCAAGCCATCACCCGGCTCTCAGACCTGGCCTGCCGTCTAGACATGGCATCCAAACGAACATGCAGGCTATCTACTGAGGTGCGTAGATCCGCCACCTCTTCCTCCATAGAAGGCAACATGGGTCGGCTGGAGTATGATCTAGAGTAATCCGCCCCGGTTCGGGGTTGTCGTGAGGATCCAGCTGCATCATAAGACCTCCTGGGTGGTGCCATGGGTGCTGGGGCATCATCATCATCATCGTCCAGGTCAATGTGTGTAGGTGCATCTCTGCCCACTTTGATCTTTGACGCTCTGAAAGCTATTTTTGGGGGTAAAGTGCCATCCATAGGATTGACTGGGACATTAACCATCAAACATAACCTCGTCACAAGTGAGGGGAAGTAAAACCCCTTAGTCATCAGAGGCGACCGGAGGATCATTTCATCTCCAATGATTTTAGCAATATCAACGTCCTTCCTGGTCACGAAGCACCAAACCAGTAGAGCCCGCAAGCTGTTCACATCTGTTGTGTTGCCCGTGGGCAACAATCTGCTGCAAATCATGGTGAACCAGCACTTAGCTTCCCATATGAATGACTTGGAATGCAGGGTCATGTTTTCTTGAATCCAAACTGGCCTTCCCCCTGAGCATATGGCCTCAATCAGAGTGCCCCAATTGACCCCTGGAGAGTTGTGGTAATAATCATTGTCTCCAGTGAATGGAGGCAGCTGTAGGACCTGGCAAATTTTCTGGACTGAGGCATCTACTACTTGGCCCCACACAATCACAGGCCGGCACATATGTTCCGGGCAGTTCGCGTAGAACTCCCGGACTATCATTGGGTTTGCCGTGTCATGTTCATCGAACAAGTGCTCCATCCCTCGCCGACGGATTTCCTCGTACATGTCCGGCTTTTCAACACGGAGGGCGGCCCTGTCAATACCAATCTCCGGGACAAAGCTTTTAGTGGCTTTCGCATGAAACCTGTCCTGGGCCTCCTCGGACGTGAACCGGGTGGCATCATAAGTGGGCACGTCGGAAGTGCTTTCCGAGTTTCTTCGCTTCTTACGGGACATCGTACCTACAATCATTTCATTAGAACAATCAGGGCTAGCCAAACATGTGCCAGTCGGAAGGATACTCAGACTTCGCCACCCGCTGGCACCAAACCATTACCCAAAGTGGACAACATCCACTATTGTCCCCACACCACTTATCAATGATACAATTCCGCCCTATAAAGCCCCCCACAAACTTCCATCAATACATACAGTTAAATCTACCACCACCCACCCCACACACAAGTTATCAACTAGAACTACACCCCACACCTATACAAATCAACCCCAAACACCAACTACAACACTAAACTTGGAGTATAAAACCCCATTGCAACCAAAATCAAGAATTATCTACAATAATCACTACATAATGTAAAATACATACAACATAAGGAAAAGTAGAACAACTTACTTGAGGATTACCGCGGAGTCTTGAAA